AAAAAATCCTAAAAAAATCTTTAAAAAATCCTAAAAAATTCCTTAAAAAATCCTTAAAAAATCCTAAAAAACCCTAAAAAAAAACCCCTAAACCAGCCAGAACTGCCCCAAAATGGCCTCAAATTCCTCCAAAGTGCCCTAAAATGCCCCAAAATTATCCCCAAAACCCCAAAAATACCTTCAGACCCCAAAAAAAACCCCCAAAAGACCAAAGGGCCCCAAAATTGCCCCAAAACCGCCTCAAACCCCACTAAAAAAAAAAACCCAAAACTGCCCTAAGATGTCCCCAAAAACCCTAAATCGTCCCCAACACCCCAAAAGCGGCCCGGGATCCCCCAGAAAACACCACAAAAAACACAGAAGTGCCCCAAAAACCCCAAAAACGGCCCCAAAAACCCCCAAAACGGCCCCAAAAACACCAAAAACGGCCCCAAAAACGGCCCCAAAAACGGCCCCAAAAACGGCCCCAAAACCCCCAAAAACGGCCCCAAAGACCCCAAAATCGGCCCCAAAAACGGCCCCAAATCAGACTCAAACACCGCAAAAAAAACCCCAAAGTTGCCCCAAAACTGCCCCAGGCAAGTCAGAACTGCCCCAAAAACTCCAAAAATGCCCCAAAAACACCAAAAATATCCCAAAAACACCAAAACTGCCCCAAAAACTCCAGAAATGCCCCCAAAACCCTAAAATTGGCCCAAAGACCCCAAAACTGCCCCAGAATGGCCCTAAACGACCCCAGACAACCCAAAACTGCTCCAAAAACACCCCAAAACCCCCTCGAAATGGCCCTAAAAGACCCCAAAACTGCCCCAAAATGATCCTAAACTGCCCCAAACATCCCAGACAACTCAAAATTACCCCAAAGATCCCAGAACCGCCCCAAACACCCCAAAACCTCCCCAAAATTGCCCTAAAGTGCCTTAAAAACCCCAAAAATGTCCCAAACACCCCAAAACTGCACCAAGATGGTCCAAAATCATCCCAAACATCCCAGACAACTCCAAATTGCCCCAAAGATCCCAAAACTGCCCCAAACACCCCCAAACCGCCCCATAATTGTCCTAAACTGCCCCAAACACCCCAGCCAGCTCCAAATTGCCCCCAAAACCCCAAAACCGCCCCAAAGATCCCCGAACACCCCAGAGCTGCCCCGAAATGGTCCCCAAGTGCCCTAAATTGTCCCCAAACGACCCTAAAGTGTCCCAAGCCCACAAAAGCGCCCCCAAAATCCCCTCGCCCCCCTCAGGGGCCCCTCAGGCCGGATCCCCTCCCCCCCCTCCCCCCCTCGCGGCCTCCCCTCAGGCACCGCGGCCCCCCCGGGCCCTTCCCCCCCCCGATCCCCGGCCCCGCTCACTGGGACGGGCGCGGGCGGGGCCGATGTCGAGGTTGAGGTCGATTCTCCGCCGCGCCTCGCGGTTCTCCTGCTTCAGCTTCGCCTCCAGTCGCGACAGCTTCTGCTCCAGCGAGGACGCCGCCATCTTCCCCCCCCCCGCGAGGCGCATGCGCGGCGCCAGAGAGGGGCGGGCCTTGGAGACCCCGCCGGCCGCCGTACGGAGGGAGGGCGCAGAGGGCGCCGCCATCTTGCCCCTGGAATGGTTGTTGCGCATGCGCGCAGCGTTTACTCGGGATGTTTGGGTCTCGCCGGCCGCCGTACGGAGGGAGGGTGCCGCCATCTTGCCCCTGGTGTGGCTGTTGCGCATGCGCGCAGCGTTCTCTTGGGATATTTGGGTCTCGCCGGCCGCCGTACGGAGGGAGGGCGCTGCCATCTTGCCCCTGGGGTGGCTGATGCGCATGCGCACGGCGCTCGCCTGTGTTCCGTGGGTCTCTCCGGCCGCCGTACGGAGGGAAGGAGCGGAGGGCGCCGCCATCTTCCCTCCGGGAGCCGTCATGGCACATGCGCGGAGTAACGGAGGGCAGTTATGAGGCTCATCCACCGCTGTAGACGGAAGAGGACTGAGGGGAGGACAAGGGGGGGTTTCGGGTTCCTTTGGCCGCTGTAGGAACGCGGGGTGAGGCCGTGGGGAGAGGAGGGCCCCGCTGGCAGCCGTACGGAAAGAAGGCACCTGGACACCACCATCTTCACCGGGGAACGGCCATTGCGCGTGCGCACAGTAAAAGCCTTTCGGGACTCTTCCGGCCGCCGTAGAAAGCGGGACACGAAATTTATGTGGCGCCACCGGCCACCTTAGGGCGGGGGAACGGGATGGGAGGGGGGGACAGAGCGGCTTTTGGGCCTCTCCAGCCGCCGTAGGGGGACACGGTGGGAAGCGATTCTATGGAAACATTTATAGGGCTTCACGGACATGTGGGGGCAATTAGGGCCGGTTTAGGGATTCTGTGGGTCGGAAGGGCTGGATGGAGGCTCAGGATGTTTCAGAGCGGCTCGAAGCACATTAGGAGTGTCGGGGCATTTGTAGCTTTAGCGGCATCTGAGGCAGTTTCTGGGACACTCGAGGCTGGTTTGCGGGCAGCCACCGCTCCTTTAGTGAAGTCTGGGGCTGTTTTGGGGGCGCTTGAGGCAGCTCAGGGATGTTTTGGGGCATTTCAGGGGTGCCTGAGGCCGTCTTGGAGCAGTCGAGGAATAGGGCGGGGCTTTTGGGCCCTGCCGGCCACCGTAGGGGCTTCAGCTTCAGAACGGCGCATGCGCAAGGATGGAAGGAGCGGCTCCCCGAGACCTGAGCGGCACAGGCGCCCCCTGCCGGGCGGGAGGACCAGCGCATGCGCAGCACGTTCCCCTCACTGGGGGTCCCCCCCGCCACCCCCATTGCACCCAAATCCCCCTTTTGGGGGGGCTCTAAGGCGGAAGGACCCCCCGAAATGTGGGGCTGCCACCCCCCAAAAGCCCCGCCCCCTACATTTCGTATTTTTTCCTTTCATTTTTCCGTTTTTATTTAAAAAAAACCCAAAACGAGCCAGGCCCGGGGAAGGGGGGAGGGGCACAGACTGCGGGGGGGGGG